TGACGTTGCCACCTCGGATGTCACAGCAGGATGGGGTTGACACCAGGCAGAGCAGTCACTTACGGAGGGGCACACTTCCAAAGTCCCAGCCACCTGATAAGCCCAAATCTCTTCTCTATCCCGTCAGTGCCGCATGATTCACACAGCCCCGTTGCCCCTTAGGTGCTGTATTTAAGGACCCTTGAGGCCGTCCCGCTGTTGGGGTGTGCAGCTGATGACCAAAATTAACCCATAAGGCTCCCATTTGCACATCTGCCAGGCTCCTTGTCCTTCCTGGCTTCAAAGCAGGGCAAGGAGGGGATGAAGAATGGGAAATATTGGGAATTTCTCTGTAATATGGCAAACACAGAGCCCTCACTGTGCTCCAGCCTTGGTGTCTTCATGGGGTGAGCCTGGGGCTGCCTCTGGGCTCCTGTCCTGCTTCTTGCCCTCTTGTGCTCCTCGAGGTCCATCACAGCCCACGCTTTCCCAAATTTCCAACCGTATTTAGAGGATTGGGTTTGCTAAGGCCAGCGATGGGCCCAGGAGCGGTGCTGTGTGCTCAGCATCCTCCCCAGGAATCCGTGGGGTCTGCACCTACCTGGGTGCCACAGTGGGGAAGATGAGGGAGGCTTTAATCTGCAGATTAATTGATAGTGCCTTAATTAACGACAGCAAAGTACTTATTGCACATTAGAGGCAAAGTTAAGGTGTACTTACAGGTGGCTGCGATTGCTAGTGAGTGCTTTAATTGCTTCAAAGTCACTGATTGACCTGTTTGTTCTACTCTTAGCAATTAATTAATTAGGGATGCGTGAGCATTGAGCATCTATTTTACAGGCTCTGGATGGATGTGAGCTCAGCTGCACCCCTCGGGGAGGGCAGGGATGGTTTTGGTCGTGTTGCCATGAAAAACACAGGCTGGAGCTGTCGCTTGCCCTGGTCCTCACTCCTCACCCCTGCAGCTTCCCTGCTCTGATCATTGCTGTTAATTGCTTGGGTATCTTCCCCTTAGGATCGCCTGTATTTCGTGATGGAGTACGTGAACGGCGGGGACCTGATGTACCAGATCCAGCAGGTCGGGAGGTTCAAGGAGCCCCACGCCGTGTAAGTGCAATCGCCCTTGGGGTGGACATTGGATGCGGCTTCATCTATAGCTGGAATTGCAGCCCCATGCACTGGCTTCTGTGGTGGGAATGTGGGCGGAAAGGGAGGGGAAGGGCAGGAGAGCAGGAAATGGGAGACGTGAGGTGATTTTCTGCCTGGTGCTGAGGATGCTGGTGCCTCCAGATCATCTTTGGGATGCATTGCATCCACTGATGGGTGGATGATTGACTGTAAAGCAGCAGAGAGAGAGGTTTGGAGGCTCCCAGGGTCAGGCACGGCTCTGCTGCCCGTCCTCAGGGACACCAGGCTCTGCTGGGGCCACCAACCGGGGCATTAATGGTGGCTTTTGGCTCCTGCTCCCTGAAATCCGGGCAGAGCAGAAAGTGTTGTGAAAGCCTTCATGTGCTTAAATCAAACCTACAAGGAGCAGAGCCTGGGCGGGTTTGAGCCGAGGCTTTGCGCTCTGGCAGAGTCCTGTGAGATGCAGAATACCCTTTAAAGCGAGCGCATGTTATCTCCTGGGCTCCCGAGATGACAGATAGCAGTTGCCAGCACGCAGTAATGAACAGCCGTGGATCCCAGCCCTCGCTTAATGAGAATTAGTGTAACGAGAAGTGACAGCGCCCTGCTCGCCCACAGCGACCTGATGGCATCCCTGCCCAACGGAGCGGAGGGGCGGCCGTGTCGCTCTCGTGTGGTGCTTCTGTCTCCTGGCTTTATGCGGTGGCTGTCTCTGTCCTTTGGTCACGTATGCCCCGTGCGCCTTGTTCAGTTCGATTGGATTTCAAAGGTTTTTGGTTTGATTCATCTCCTATAATTAAGTCCTGGGTCACCTGTCCCAGAGAACCTTGCGCTTTCGCTTCCCCCCCATCCTCCTGTGCAGACAGAAGGGAAAATAAATAAACAAACAAAGGAAAGTGTGAACCTGTGTTTGGGTAGAGGCTGGAAAACAAACCTTGAAAACGTGTAAACATCTGCTGGCGAGAACCGAAACAACAACATCGCACCAGCTGCTGCAAGGAAAATAACGCTGTCCCAGCAAAACCGGGGCAAATCACCAATCCTGCTTTTAAACCTTCTCTTTCAGATTCTACGCAGCAGAAATAGCCATCGGCCTCTTCTTCCTGCAGAGCAAAGGCATCATTTACCGGTAGGTGAGCACGTTCCTCCTTCCTCTCTTCCCCAAACACCTCCAGTCGCAGCCACAGTGATGCTCCCATGGCCGTGATGCTCAGCGGGGCTCCCACAGCGATGCTGCGATGCTTGGAGATGCCATGGCCGTGATGCTTGGCAGGGCCTCTGTAGTGATGCTCGGTGATGCCATGGCCATGATGCTTGGCAGGGCCTCTGTAGTGATGCTCGGTGATGCCATGGCTGTGATGTTTGGCAGGACCCCTGTAGTGATGCTCGGTGATGCCGTGGCTGTGACACTCAGTGCGGCCCCCACAGCATCACAGGGGCCACAGTTGGGGTCTGGGAGCTGCCCCACCAGTTGCACACACCCAAAACAGAGCCAGGACCCTCCCAGTGTTGCTGTTTTTTGCGAAGGTGCCTGTCTTTGTCCCTGTTTTTGGAAAGCAGCTTTGGCTCCTCTGTTTCCTCTGTTGCTTGCTTTTTCCCTACATATGACACAAATGCTCACTGGCAGCGTGCAGTGATCCTGAGTCCCATATTTTGCTGCAGGGCACTATTTTCTTACCATTAATGTTAGAGTAAGAGCTTCTGAATGGCTAATCCTAGATCTGCAGCGCCAGTCTGTCGCTTCCGATTCAGACACCAAAACTTGGTTTCCACTCCCAGTCCAGCCCCCAGCATTATCCAAAACTGGGCTCTGGGGCTGCTGGTTTGGCACTGGGACTGGTGTCCCCCTGGGGGGTGTTCCCAGAGCATCCCAATGAGTGTCAGGTACCCAACCTGCATCCCAGCTCCTGCCCGTCTGCCTTTGGCTCATCTGTGTTCTCAGCACTGACACAGTAATTGGGGAAAAACTGTTAAAAACCGGCAAGAAACTGTAAATTATTCAATTATTAAGCATCATGCACCGTGTGGTCAATGCAGCATGGCTCGTGCCTGCATCCCTGTCACTGCCGTGTCACCCAATGTCCCCCCTGGGCAGGGGAGATCCTATGGAAAGGGAGCCCCTGGAGTCACGTTTTACTGTGTCCAACATCAATAAGGCAGAAAGGGCACAGATCCAGAGCTGCAGGGTGATGCCGTGGGTGGCGATGCACAAATCGCACCCAAAATACTGAGGTTTTGGTGGAGAACTGTGCTTCAGGCTGCAGCACACATCTGGAGAAGCTCTGCAGCTGCGACTGGGACCCTACAGATTGGGTCAAAACACGGCTGATTTGTGGTTTTGAGGGGGGAGCACGACCCAAGTGATGCAGGGATTTGCACCGAGCAGGTGTTTCTCCGTTGCTGATGAGCTTCAAGTGGGCTTTGATTTTCACAAGCGCAGAAAATACCCTATTAAACCAATCTCCCCGCTAGAGGAGGGTTTTCTGTCGCACACCTGAAAGCGGTTTACCCAGCGTGGTGTTTCTGTGGGTTAGCGCTGAGCTGAACGCTTCATCTCCGACTTGTTTGGACTCATTTCCACAAACATTTTCCTACAGAGAGTCCGGGTGCGATGAAGCCAGAGAGCGCCCGGGCTCAGGAAACCTCATTTCTTCGCTTCGCGGGTGATTTTTTTGGTGTAAATTCCTCTGTTTTCGCCCGGCAGAGACCTGAAGCTGGACAACGTGATGCTGGACAGCGAGGGGCACATCAAGATCGCGGATTTCGGGATGTGCAAGGAGAACATCTGGGACGGGGTCACCACCAAGACCTTCTGCGGCACCCCCGACTACATCGCCCCCGAGGTAGGGGTGCTGTGCCCGCATTTCGGCTGCCCTCGCCCGTTCCCGTCCCCATGGGATGGCTTTGCCTGGGGCAGGTTCCTGCTCCCAACGGGGGCGTTGGGGATTCTGTGTGCCCAAGGAGAGCTCCCCATCCACACCTCTGGGTCACGCCAAAATTACTTTAAATTTGGTTATTGCTTATGTGCTGGGGTCACATACAACACTTGTATGAAGCGCGGTAGGGGCACAATTTAATGTTGAAATGTGAAATTCCGGTAGGTAACGATTCCCAAATGCCTGTGGCCTTATCTTACAAATATCCCACTCAGATCTCCTCACTCTGATGAATTCTCAATGATGAGATTAATATTTATTCATTTAAATAAAGAAAGAGATTCTCTTTGCTAGGACGTAGCTTGTATGCCAAAATACATCGTGTTTTCCTGCAGCCCAGAGGGTTTTAATTACTCGTTCAAATGCGTCTTACGTACCCTCGTCCCACCAAGATTAATACCGGTGCCCTGTACGCAGCTCGGTCGCCGCGTGTGATTAATTCTCCTTCAGAGCAGGACAAATGACCAATTCTCTGTATATTTGCCTGAGCGTTATCACTTAAACTCCTATTTTCTTCCGCTGGCTCTATTTTTAATTTGTTTTCCCAAAAAAAACCCCACAGAGGATGGGAAATGAGTGTGCAAATGGCACTGGTAGGAAGCTGCAATGCTCTCAGCCCAACACGGCTTCAGGGTGAAAACACCCTGGGGTTTGCTTGACCCGTTTTTGGGGGGCTTTTTCCATTGCAAGGGTGCAAATGTCACCTCCTCGGAGCAAAGCGGGGCCTTTGCTGCTGGGTTTTCACCTCCCCTGATGTGCATTTGGTAAATTCACCTTACAGAGGTCTCTGTGAACCTGTGGGGTTTCTCCTGAGCGCTGCTTTCCTCTAAAAGCCTCCGTGGCGTGGAGGGTTCACACCTGAATTTCCCAGATCTCCCATAAATCACCGAAAAAAGCGAGCGGGGGGAACTTCAAATCGAGGGCTTTCAGAGCTGAAATCTTATGCACAAAAGTTACAGGATTAAACACTCCCCGTCGCGGTGATTGGCTGGCAATTTGCATGCGATTATAATATCTGCTGATTCACTCCCAGCTCAAACGACGCCTGCGCGGGGTGAGGGTCCTCACCTGGACACAGCTCTCATTGACCCGTGGGGGGATATTTCGGTGTTATAATGAAGCCAGTTGGCCTCAGGACACCTCATTTTCTACTTGCCGTGCCACGTCCGTGATTCAATCAGGGACAACTTAATTAGGCCCCTTATTTCAAGAAACAAGACATCCCCGTGTCCGTGTCTCTGTGTTCCAGGGTTATTTACCCTACAGACTCCTGGATTCTCTTTGATTTGGGCTTGGATGCCCCATCTTCATTATTTCTTTGTCAGCAGACAGATATTCATTAACACACACACATAACGCAGGCTCAGAATTAAAGTTACAGCTCCAGAGGCAGGAGCGGACCCATGGGGCCGGGTTGCTGTGTGCGTTCATTCCCCATGGGATTTGCATCCCATTTGCATTTACGGGGAGCTTTGCGGCGCAGGGTTCTGTAATTGGGATGGATGAATCGCTTAATTGCTCTGTGTGAAGGAACAGATGGCGAAACCCACGGCCTTGCAAACCCCAAACGCTGCCCAGCAAATAAATGGGAGCTTGGAGACCCCATGGGTGGGACCTGGCACTGTCCCATTGTGGGGGCTGGGGGGTGGAGGGACCCCCGTGCTGGAGGAGGGGACACAAGGAGCTGGGGGTGCCCCAAACCACCACCATGGCTGGGTGAGGTCCCTCGGTCTCTGGATCAGGTTGGTTTTGCTGCAGGGAAATTAGGAAATTCAGCTTTTGCAGAGGAAAGCATGGAAAAATACAAAAAAATCCATGTTTTGGTGCCTTATCCAAAATAAGTGTTGATACTTTAGATTTTTTTTAAAAAAGCCAACCAAACGTGAGGTTATTTCCTAACTCCAAAACAGCCCCACTGCTCAGGTAAGGGTAAGGCCGTATTTATTAGGTTATTCTGGGACGTTCTGTAATAAATGCTGGAAAGCGAATGGACAGCCTGGCATGCAGAGGGGTTTGGCCACCCCTATGCTGGAATTCTGTTTTCAAGGCCGTGCACCAAAGCGCCAAGCTCTGGGGTGCAATTTCAACCCAAATGCACTGAAGTAGGTGGGGAAAAAAAATCCCCGAAAGCATCGGGGTGTGCAGAGCAGCGCCCGCAACAGCAAAGCTGCTGAGTTTCAGCTGAGTCTGAAGGAATCTGCCTCAAATCACAGCGAATATTCTCATTTTTTCCTAATATTTACCCCACCTCTGATGGCTGGTGATGTTTTAAAGCACCGAGCCCTTTCCCTATAGTGTATGCTGTTTATAATTGCAGTTTTTCACTGTTTTGGTACAGCTCGAAATCAGTTTGCGCGGCGCCGACAGGTTAAGAACGGGCGCGTAACCCTGCGGTTTGCGTTGCTTTCAGATAATTGCCTACCAGCCCTACGGGAAGTCGGTGGATTGGTGGGCGTTTGGAGTCCTGCTCTACGAGATGCTGGCTGGCCAGGTAATTGGGATTTAATTGATTCCCGTGGGATGGCGTTAAATCCCGTCGCGAGCATCCGCTGGTGCATCACTCGTTTTGTCGCCGGTGGGATGCCGCCTCCTCGGTGGTGGGGATGCAGCCCCGGGATCGCGGTGCTGGGATGCCAGTGCCCGAATTTAATGGCTGAGGACCAGGAAATGGGAGCTCAGGGATGAAGCGACGCGGCTGAACCTCCCTTTGCTCTGCCGCAGGCGCCCTTCGAGGGCGAGGATGAGGACGAGCTCTTCCAGTCCATCATGGAGCACAACGTCGCCTACCCCAAGTCCATGTCCAAGGAGGCGGTGGCGATCTGCAAAGGGGTAAGGGCTGGTTGCTGGGAGGAGGGAGAGGGGCAGCCCTCCCCTCCTCTCCCCTCCTCTTCCCTCCTCTCCCCTCCATCCTCCTTCTCCTCTTCCTCCTTTTCTCCATCCTCTCCCTTCTCTTCCTCCTCTTCTCCCTTCTCTTCCTCCTCTTCTCCCTTCTCTTCCTCCTCTTCTCCCTTCTCTTCCTCCTCTTCTCCCTTCTCTTCCTCCTCTTCTCCCTTCTCTTCCTCCTCTTCTCCCTTCTCTTCCTTCTCTTCTCCCTTCTCCTTTCTCTTCCTCCTCTCCCTCCTCGCCCTGGTCCCAGCTGCAGGTTCCCAGCGCAAGGTGAACCTGACAAAACCCACTCCTACAACCACAGCTCATGCTGCTCTGTGTCTGTGTACCAAAACCCAGTGAAAACCAGCACCGAGGCCCCTCCTGAGCCAGAAAACTGGGAGAGCTGGGTGGGATGCAGGAGCCGAGGGCATCTGCCCAGAGACCTCTGCAAGGTGACAACAGGGGAGCTTCTGTCTATCTTTCAATGAGAAGATAAACAGCACCTAGAGCAAATGAGTGATTTCTAAATGGTTTTCCTAAGACTGACACAAATCCATCGTCCTGCAGCGGTTTCCCTTTAGCTCTGAAGTTCAGCGCTGGTGTCCATCTCCATGGGGCCAGCATTTTAATTGTCACATCTCTTAATTTACAGCGATGCTCTGCGTTGGCTGCGCTCTCCATGGCCGGCCCTAGGCCAGGCTGAGGTGTGCCCTGGGTGAACAGGGGCTGTGATGGGCAGAGACTGGTCCTGGCACCGTGTGTGTGGGCACTGCTTGGGACTGAGCCTCGTCCCAGCCGGGCGGTGTCACACAGCGCTATAAATACGTGTTTGTGTAGGGATTGTAACAAATGCTTGCTTTTAATAGTTAATATTCAAAATATCTGAATGTTCTGCATCTCAAAATAGAGTTTCTGTCTGCAAGTGACACATCTCGCGCTGGGCTCTCCCACTGCGGCATTTCGGAGCCGCTGAAATCCAGTCCCTAATTCGGAAACGGCGCTGGTGGCCGAGCGGGAGCTCCCACGGATGTTCCCGTTCCCGTTGCTGTTGGGGTGGGAGGGGACAGGGCCGTGTCCCCATGCGATGCTCACGATGCTGAGCTCTGCGGGGCCGGAGCAGGACCCGGTCTCGCTGTCAGCTCCGTGTGCTGGAGCATCCGTCACAACACGAACACCACAAATAAACGAGGAGGGGCGGTGACAGCAGCGTCTGCCGGGTGTAGCCGTGGTGGCTTCTCTCACTCTGGAGACGTGAGGCTGCCCAGGGGGCTCAGCCACGCGTGAAACCGTCGCTCTTTACAGATTCCTCTGCTTCTTGCAGCAAAGTGGGGGTTCCCTTTGTACCGCTCGTGTTTTGGGGAAGCGCACAAAAACTCCTGACATCCTTTGCCGCCACCAAACTGCTGCACCAGGCATTTTATTTAAAATACGTGCGATATTTAGGAATTTAAGCTGAAAACAAAGTATTTGTGGTTTTCCCTGGAATACAGTGAAATCAGTCTTGGTTAACCGCAGGGGCAGCCGAGCTGGGTGTGTGTACCAGCAAAGCAAAGTCTTGTTAGAAGTGATAGTAGTGTGACTGGGCTGAAGGACATAAATCAGAATATATATAGATGTGTGTGTGTGTATATATTTTAAAAATATAAATATATACGTATAAATATATAATATA